GTGCGTTCAGAACGCACCCGCCCTGCTGGGATGCAACTACATCATTGATACAAGTGGGTACAATATATATTCCCATACATCAACTAGCTACTGCAGTGGTTAAGGACACCGCTGACTTGTTAATTGAACACCGAAAACTCACCCTCCCTCTACGCTCGTGGAAAATTGTCAGATGAATCAGCATGGGGGTCGAGGAGATATGGCGGCCCGCTACACATTTCTGTAATAAAAATGCATACAGGAACCCATAACCTGGAGCGAGCAACTTCCATGCGCTCGTGTCACAACGTTTTCACGGACCGCTTTATTTTTAGAAACGTTTTGGCGCGAATTGTGAAAATCTTTTAAATTACGCAAACAACCAGTTAAAAAAACCCACATACCTGAAAATGAGGGGTTTTTTGCCTTTTAATAACGTTTAGTTTTCCATTTTGATATCTTATACTTCGAATGTTCTCATTGACATGATGGAGGTTCTATTTTCGCGGGGAAAAGTGACATAAAATGTGTCTAAAAATAAACTAGTCTATGAACACGCCGTGACATAGGCCTAGTATGGGAGTAGCTTGCTCCGGGTTATGGGCTCCTGATGTATATATATATATTTTGAACAAAACGTATCGGTTTCGGGGCGATTTAGCCGTTATTTACTTACTATTATAATTTTTTTTGGCCAGGTTGGGGGGGGGGGGGGGGGGGTGCCCCCCCCCACAAAATTAAGGGGGGGGTGGGCCTTTTTTGTGCCCCTCTTTTTTTTTTTGGGGTGGTGGTTTGTTTTTTTCGTTTTTGGTGTTGTGTGTGTTGTGGGGATTTTGTTTTTTTTTTTTTTATACAAGTGGTGGTGGGGGGGGGGTGGTGGTTGTGGTTTGTTGTGTAATATTTTTTTTTATTTTTTGTGTAAAATCGGTGTGTTTGTGTGGTGGTTTTGCTCTTTTTTTTTTTATTTTTTTTTTTTTTTGTGGGGGGGGGGGGGGGGGGGGGTGGGAAGGATGACCGCCTCCACAAATCTTAAGGGGTTGTACGCCTTTTTGTAGACTCTTCTTATTCTTTAGCCGGTTGAAGTGTTATTCTCTAGCTTGAGGTATCAGTTATGTGAAGCAGATTTGCTTTTCTACTGTTTTCTTTTTTCTGTATTTTCATTAGGTAAGTAATCAACCACTTTTTTGAGTAGTTACCTTCGTAGGTCTTTGATCGAACTTCAGCCATCCCAAGATCTCCTAAGGTTACTTTTTCACCCGAAGGTACTTTTAGCTCAAGAATGGTGACATGCGTTTAATCCCCTGTTAAAAGATAATTTGTAATTCTAAAGACGCTTCATGGCTCCTCTAAAAGGTAGTCACCTCTGTCGAGGTAACCTAAAGCTGAGTAAAATAACTGAAGATTTAATATTAGAAGCAAGAAGGAAAATTTTCCTAATAGGTAAAGCGCGGTTAACAACGATTTTTATGTTAATAGATTCAGTATGTATGCCGCATCTCATTTTTAAGAACAATTATCATCTGCCTTTTTTTCATCGAGATTCCCGCAAGTAATGCCGAGATAATGAAATACGTATCATTATTAGATGGAAATTTTTTTTTTTTTCATTGGCTGAGAGTCCACCGCGTGAGCTGCAAATAACTGCCTATAAATAATGGCCTGCTCATGTGCAATGTCGTCCAGCTGTGTTTGGCTGCAAATAATATTCTACTCATGCGTAAATGAAAGCACGCTTTTCTCCGTCCATGCGATCGCTCTTACGTGAAAATGGCAGATCGCTTCGCTGGCCTTTCCCGAAGATATTCATTAAAAACAAACACGGTGAACAAATGATAAAACAATTATTGAACTCGGTTATCGCAAATATCGTAATTTGTCAGTGTCTCGCAGATCAATTATTTGCCTCAGCCTTTGGCTTCGGAAAATACATAATTGATCTGCTTGCCCCTGACAAATCGCAATATTTTGCTGAACCTCGTCCAATAATTGTTATAAGTATCGTACTTGAATGTAACGTGGATTAAAGCAGTGTTCTATTGAGTGCAAGAAAGTGATCTCGTGACTATATACATTCATTGATTCTTTTGTAGTTTCAGGCTCTGCGATTGGCCAGAAAAATTCTCGCGCCACTTTCTCAGCCAATCGGGAGCAAATCTAAAACCTCTTGTAACTTGCACGCACGCATTTTCCCGCCCTTGGCACCAGCTGCTACGTGCATTTTTTTCTTGGGGATCTGACAGGTGACCTTGCTCTGTGTGCGTATTCTGATTGACTACAGTGATTACTTACGATAACAATTGAAAACTAGTCCTACTAACTCATGTAAGGTAAGCCAAAGATGTTCTTTCTTTTGCTAAGTGAAGTTTCAGTTAAATGTCACTAGTAACCGAAATAAAAATAACAGCCTAAAGTTTTTCGAACACCTTTGTGTATGACCCTCTTTCGCCTTTGACTGGGCTAAATTTAATGTTCCATAGACGCGTGAAACATGTACATGTAAGGTATAAACATTCAATATCAACTTGGCACTGAATTGAGGATGACGATTTAAAGAGTGACTCAAAAGTGAAATTATCCTGGTAGACTCCAATCCTATTTTTGTTTACTCCACTCGCCTTGTAAACTAAACTTCTTAGTGAAGCCGGACACTCTTTAACGTTCTGGCGGCCTAAACATACCTTTCTTACTTACTACCGCTATTCTCCCGGAAGAGTTTGTTTTCCCGTTCACTTGCCCAGGCCCAAAAAAGGAGAAGAGAGTGAAGTGCTTTAGAAAGCTCATTATGCTAGTACTGATAGAAACGACTATTTCGTAGAAAAAAAGAACGAGAACCTTAGGAAACAGAATTACATTGGTTAGTATCCAGGGCCCAGTTGTTCGAAGGCCGATTAGCACTTAACCTGGGGTTAAAATTAACCCTGGTTTCTTTTTCTTGTCAGTTCAAAAGCATTCTCTTGGATAATTTTCCCTGTTAGTTTTAGAGCTTCCAATCATCAACTTGTAGACAAAAAAAATTAAAACTGAAATGCTTTTTAAGCTTTCAAATCTGAATTCAAATCTCGCAGTAAACCTGGGTTATCTTAACCCATCTGCGAACAACTCGGCCCAGACGTATTTTGGTACCATTGTAAGCATTTTATTAAATAATACCAGCAAAGTTGAAAATTTCCTCATTTTTCTGAGCAACTTCCCTTTTCCGTTTTCACCCTCTTCGACGCTAGCGTATGAAGAAGACGGTAAAAAGGATATGGAAAAAGTAGGTACACTCCCCACGTTTAACTTAGACACCCCTTGGTAGCCTGTATACAGCTGTCCCCTCCCCTCAGAAAAAATCGGAGAAGGGGAGGGCAGGGGGCGGCTGTACACAGGCCACCCCTTGCTTACTCAACAAACAAACTTTGTGCCTCAGTTTTGTGAACACTTTTAACCACAAAAGCATCCGTTCACCCCATAAAAGACCTGGATACTACTATAAATTCATTATGTTAGTGCTAATAAGCCAGTCTATCTTAAGACATCAAGTATGGTATCTCTACAATCTGGCTAAAAAGGGGAGTGACGATATGCACCTGGGATGAGAGAGACGATGCCCATTCAGAGCAGAGCTCGAATTTGATGAGAATTCCATACCCTCGCTTGAAGGGTTCTCTTGGGCTTAATCGAGAGTGCGACTTAACATCAAGGAAAAAGAGCAAACGCATATCCACAATTAATGTAAAACGTTAAAAAATAACTGAACGCTCTTGATCCTCCAACAAACATTATTTTTGCTTTTTGTTACGATGTCTCTGAGTTTTTGCATGGCATATAATTAATTTATTGGACATCTCGGAAAAGTTAGAAATTGATAATTCAAGTACAATGCCTCGTTGCTGCCGGGCATCAGCCGGCAGCAGACCATATTCTTGAGCGATTTGAGATTTTTCGTTCAATGGTTCCGTGGTTCATGGTTCGATGGTCATCCGTGACTGCAGCGCTGTGCAGTCAGCGGTTTGCTTAAGCAAGTGCTTAGCTGCCGCGCCTGTTTTTCTCTTAGGAGCAATCTGCCATTTTGTTTTGCTCTCATGTAAGATCTGTGCAGAAATATATCGTAGTTTATCGGATGCTTGCTGTCTTTTTAAACGGCCTAAACGGTAAGAACAGTTCAAGAATTAATGTACAGAACAATTTTTCGGTTTATTTTTTTATTCAGGTTTCTTCTAATCAATATCGCTCATAAGAAAACAGTGTGTCTAACAATAGAGCCATTAGTCCTAACATTCAATGTATTCACTTGCCGTACACGACATGTAGATGGAGACCTGTGAATAAACAAGTTTTGGCCTTTATGTTATTCCTTGGCAACTCATCTCATCGATCCTGTGTACGATGATTGTTCGATGAAGAAACAGCCTATCAGCACTGCAGTTGTTTTAGAATTTCGTGAATTATTAAAATGAATTACAAAATGGTATTGAAACCTTAGCGAGTTATATGAATGTAAGCATTTTTGTCATCGTGATCGGTTCATTTTTTATATTACGCTCTGAGTGTTTCATAATGCCAGCAAGTCTAAGTTATTGACTTCAATAAGAAAGAATTCATATGTTCAACTGTTCTACAAACTGTCTTTGTCCTATTCGCATCGCAACTAACGGCAGCACTTCCCTTCTCAATGAGAACTTCTAGTACTGATACTTACTTTAGTGCCAATTGCTATTTACAACAGGCGAACCTCTATCTAGCGGCCACCCCAGAGAAACTAACAAGTGGCAAGTGTGGGGTTCAGCTTATAGAAATTCACGTAAGTGGCAACTAGTGGGTGTCCACTGAATTCTCGAACTTAGTAGAGGCTGCATCGACTATTTCATTGGCTAATAGTAGATTTTAGCAAGGGCCAGGCCGTTGGTTCAAGCAAACGGTTAGACTTTCTAGTCTTCTTGGACAAGGACCAGAAGATAAAGGCCGCAGACCCCGTCTCACAACCCTTGCGCAAATAAGTTCTGTTTGTAAAGAGTAGGGAACATAGTCCCCGGTTTGGTGGTCTATCTCTCATATGGGAGGGATTGTTATGGGCCTGCAGTAATTGGAGCAAGGCGCAGTTGCGGTGAGCCGGTGACCTTGCCAAGAATTGGAGAATCTAAGAATCTATGTCTAGCAGGTAAAACTCACCACGTTTTTTTCCATCAACTGAGTAAAAATGTATTTGTTCAGGAATATAGCACCTTCCTTTATTTTTCTAGACGGCAGGGTGAGGCTTTGGTAGTAAAGTGTAGTAAATTCATGCCCCTTATAGCAGTAATTAGCATAAAAGGTAGCCTGGGAACAACACTTGTGCGCAACCGCGAGGTGTGGGTCTTTGTTTGTCTTTGTGTAAGGGTCTTTGTGTGGGTAGCCTGCAGTGCAGGCGTTTTCTTTGAGCGCGCAATTTGCTTACGAAAGCGCCATGTTGAAACTTCCCGAAGAGAGGAGGAAATGGGGCGCCCTCCGTAAGGGTTACTATTTCTACTCTCCCCAATCTTCCACTGTCATAAAATCCAAGATGGCGGCTACGACAACACAAGTCGAACAAGGTTTCGTCCACCCAAAATACGCCTGCACTGCAGGCTATTGTGTTGGTGAGATTCGATTTTGTTAAATCAAACTTCCGCTTTTCTAGGAACCGCTTCGCTTCAATCGTCTTACTAATTACCTTCAGCAATGGCTCAAGGTAAGAGCTTTTTCGATGACGTTAAAAAGGAGTTGGAATGTTCCGTGTGCCAGGAGCTGTTCAGTGAAGTCAACGAACCAAAAATTCTAAAATGTCTCCACACTTTCTGTAAGAATTGTCTGGAAGCTTGGTTGAGGAGGCAGCGCGAAGGACAGCTAAGTTGCCCGACATGTCGTCAAATCACCGAGTGTTCGAACAGCAACATTGACAGCCTTCCATCCAATCTTTTCTACAAACAGATGGTGGAGATTGTAGAGGCTTATAGTGGTACAGGACAAGAAGCTGATTCGCCGTATTGTGGGAACTGTGAGGAGAAAAAGCATCTGAAGTTTTATTGCTTTGACTGTAATACCTTCTTGTGCGATGAATGTGCTGGCACCCACAGCAAATGGAAGTCGTTTAAAGGCCACCATGTCAAGGAAATTGGAAAATTTGAGTCAAGCGATGTGCAAGATTACGCCCGAAAATCCAACGTATGTAAGAAACACAAGGATGAGCTAAGATTTTACTGTGAAAACTGCAACATTTGCATTTGTCGTGATTGCGCCATACTCGAGCACCGTGACGACAGGAACCACAACATAGTTTCACTCGAGCGAGGATTTGAAAACAAAAAATTAGACATAACAAGTAAAATGAAAGACGTTGAAGCAATTGCAACTCGTTTAAGAGACCAAAAACAAACATCAGAGAAGAAAAGAGTAAGGATGCTTGGAAGCATTGATGAAGCGACGACTGAAATTCACCGAGTCGCTGAACAATGGATAAGGTTCATTCGCCAGAATGAATCAGCTATGGCCAAAAAGTTGCTCGAGCACAAAAATTCTTTTCAAGAAACATTTTCAGTCCAGATGTCCAGCTTAGATGAGAAAATCGTGGAGATAGACAACAGCTTGGTATTTAGCAGCGATGTTCTCGCTCGAGAAAATCTACTGGAGATTTTAAACGTGGAAGAAATACTGGATAAAAGGTTTCAGGACCTTTCTTCGGAATTTCGAGTCAATTTGAATTATCCTTACGTCAAGTACGTTCCAAATGATGCATCATCGCCAATGAACGACGTGCTTGGAGAATTAATTTTCACTAACTCTTTGCTCACGACAGCAAATGGCAAGGGACTTACTGAAGGTATTGTAGACGAAATATACACTTTTAAGATTTAAACAAGGGATTCGCGGGGACAAATAACGTACTTTAGATTATACGACGACGTCGATGTTGACATCCGATCAGTGGGTATCACCACAGTCCCCATGATAATGATATTAGTCTTGGAAAATGGCTGCTACGAACACAGGGCGCAGAGGAGTTATTTGTGATGGCAAATACCGTAAATTCCGAAAATAAGTACCGGGGCTTATATTTTGTCAAAGGCCCTTTTTGAGGGGCTTATTTTTGGAGGTGCTTATATTCGGAGGGGCTTATCTACGGAGGGAAATTTGCGTTTCAAAATTGATTGGGCTAGCCTTATATTTGGAAGTAAATTTACCGTTTTTGCTTTGTTTTACTTTGTATTTGAGGGCAATTTTCCAAGTACAAGCCCCCGGGGGGGCTTATATTTGAAGGGGGCGATTTAACGGAGGGTTTTTTGCGTTACCGGTTTGGGGGGCTTATATTTGGAGGGGCTTATACATGGACGGGTTTATTTTCAGAATTTTACGGTAAAACGAAAATTTTACTGCAGAACGAAGGAGTCGCCTCTGTTTACTATGGAATTTATTATGAACTAGACCTTTCAAACAGTCGTGCGATCGTGTTACTAACCTGGTAAAATATTATCTAATGCTCGGTGGGAACGAACATCGCCCGAAGGGCGACGCATTCGGAAGCTTCGCGAGGCACAAAATGCCGAGAAGAAAAAAGATAGTCTTCTTATATGTTAGTCGCAGTTATTCGTCCGCAGCAGGGTCCACAGTTATTACCTTCAGCGGTTTTCCAGGGCATTTAGTAATTATTGAATTAGACTTTCGTATGATATGAAGAATTCTGCAGATCTCGGTGTTCGCCTTGAAAGGAGTAAAATGTTCCGCCGACAGTTCCCCCATTTTGTTCTAACTACCTAAACAACTCAACCTCGTCCCCAGGTTTTCTCGATCAACGGTTCAATAGCCTGCAACCGGCTGCACTTTTAACGTCATTTTGACGTCATCGGTCCAATATGACAAAATTCTTTCCAAATTTGGTCAACAGCAGCTGGTTATGGTGAGTTATGCGTGTTGTTTTAACCAATCAGAAACGGGGAAATATTTCGAATGAATGGTAATTAACAATTATTGGACGAGGTTGAGTGAAATGTCGTGATTTGTCAGTGGCGAGCAGATCTTATAAGCCGAAACCGAAGGCTGAGGCAAATAATTGATCTGCGAGACACTGAAAAATCACGATATTTTGCGACAACCGAGTTTAATAATTGTTTTATCATTCGATCACCGAGTTTGGTTTTTAATGAACATCTTCAAGAAGCGAAGCGATCTGCCATTTTCACGCAAGAGCGATCGCAAGAAGGAGAAAGCTATGTGTCATTTACGCATGGGTAGAAAATTATTTGCCGCCAAACAAAGTTGGACGACATAGCTCATGAGAATACCATTATTTGTAGGCAGTTATTTGCAGGTCACATGGTGGGTTCTCGGACAATGAAAACAAAGAAAGATTTACAATGAATGATAATAGATAATATCTTACCAGGTTAGTAACACGGTCTCATGACTGTTTGAAAGGTTAAGTTCATAATAGATTCTACAGTAAACCGAGGCGACTCGTCCGTTCGTCCGTAAAATTTTCGCTTTATTTGTCATCACAATTAACTCCTCTGCGCCTTGTGCTACGAAGTGTAGTACAAGCCCAAGATTGCAGGAAAGTATCACTGAAGTCACATATGACACCTAGTCAGGAAAGTTCAAAGAAAGCGCTGGCTGTGAGTGACATGAGTAAATTGAACTGAAAAATGTGTAAAAGTGCGAGAAAGGTGCTTGTTTTCACGAAAATACTTCGCAGAAAACTTTTTGAGAGGAAGAGGTTGCTATTCAGCTTCTTTTTTGATCGATTTTTTGTCCACGAAAGCTAGTTTCCTTCGGTTCATTTTTTTGATAAACTGACATCGCGAGCGGACGGCCTCGGTGGGTCGTGAGTTTGTGTACGAAATTATGATAACGGATAAGTGAAATGTTAATCCAAATTTTTCTGTTCAAATTACTCTTCCTTTGAATTTTAACTTGGAGCGAGACATCTTAATCCTTCCCAAATGTAACGACAGTGAATTTGAGCAGAAGAATTCGCTATCGCAGTCTTTTTCTTGCTTAAATCACAGGGCGCCCAGAATCACAACAGCCTACTAGAAGGCAAATTATAAGGATTTGTATGGAAATTTATCTTAAGATCGTAGAACGGTTAAAATGCACAGCTACGGAAGTATTCATACCTTATAAAGAGTTTTGTCTCGTTTTCTTACTGTTTCCTGTCCTATAAACGCAAGCGCGCGTGCACTCCGCTTAAATGTCATGTTAGCAAGTTTTATTGTTTTCAGGGTTTCTCAACTACTAAGATCTTTTGACAAATTAAGTCGAGAACACGAGACGATCCAGAGGTACCGTCCATAGTATTGACATTGACTGCGATTTAAGGAAATGCTTAATTACTTTTATTACTCATTCAAAACATTTCCACGATTCTGATTGGCTAAAAGCACATGCATAATTCACCATAACCAGCTACTGATGACCAAATTTGGAAGAATTTTGCGTTTAATGAACCGATGACGTCAAAAGTGCAGCGCCTAGCAGGTTAATAGACTACGAGCAGTCTCTCTTTTTTCTTTGTCCGTCGAGCAAAACGCCCGAGACACGCAAATGACCACGCACGTGACTGAAGGCGCGAGACGGAGAGGCACGACAAAATAGTTTTCCTCTCGGGCTGCCGCCGGCGACTATCGCGACTCCCGGCTCCGCCGCCCCACACTAGAGCGTACGTACACTCTCCTTACTAAATCGGCGGCAAACGAGAGACGGCTCTCCGTCCCCACGGTTACTGCACCGCTGGGGACTGGGCACCGTTTATCACCGGGGCGGCGAGCGCGGGTACCGCGAGCGGCTCCTTCGATATTGATGCCGT